GTGAAAGCCGATCCGGCGATCCACAGCGTGACGTTGATGTATTTCCTCAGCGACCAGTACGGATCAGCTCTAGGCATGACGAAGCAGATATCGTCCTCTTTTGGAAGGCCAAACAAAGTAGTTTCGCTTTCACAACGAAACACGGCAACAACAATAATACAGCGAAATCTATGCAAATCTTCCCACGTTGTGACGTAGACATGTGGGGGCATGTTAGAACGAGCCGTTTTAGGTAGGCGTGGTTGACTCTTAACTTTTATAAAGAATATCTCTTTGGATTTGAGACTTTAGTCTTTGCAACTTTACAGATCTTCTTTATGCACCAAGAGCTTGTAACACTCCAAAGAGAAAGGAAAATTGAGATCGCATCATATTACCCCTTTAACTAAAACAGTTTATGATAAAATGCCATTTTTTCTGTTCAGAAAGGAATTATATTATACCTGAATTGAGTACAACAAAATAATAGAAATACAATAAATAAGCAATAAATCAACAATGTATTCCTTATTGCTATCACACAAAATAAACATCTAACGTAGCTAGCGTAGCTTTATTCATGAACTTATGAGGTATATTTTAATGAATCAGTCAAAAAGACTCAAATTCATGAGAAAGATTAGTTTGAATCAGTCTTGACGATTCATGGATAACAAACTCTGCAACTGAAATTGACTGACAGCTTGTCTTGTGTCATAGTAGCATAAATGGAGACCAGTTTTTTAGATTGTCTTCTAATGTTGTTCTGTTTAACATCAGGACGATGCTCGGCAGCTCTTTGTGCTCGCCGGCACTGCAGAGGAAGGAGTCATGACCCCTGAGCTCTCTGGGGTCATCCGCCGGCTGTGGAAGGACGAAGGAGTGCAGACGTGTTTCATCAGATCACGAGAGTATCAGCTCAATGATTCAGCAGCCTAGTAAGTGCACTTGAGTATTCTATAGTATAGATGGACCAAGGTTTCTCACAGGCTTTTCTGTGCAGCATAGCAGAGTGACCACAGGTGTAGTTCATCACATTAACATGTCTGACAACCATAAAGTGTCCAAATAATCTATAAATACATATAATTTGTGTTTGTGCTATATTTCTTTCAAATAAATGCTATTGGTTTGATATTCTGTTATAATGGATTAACATTCATAAACATTTGTGACCCTGGACCACAAAAGTCATAAGGGTCAATTTTTTAAAATTGAGATCATCTCTGAATCATATCTGAAAGCTAAGCTGAATAAATAAGCTTTCCATTGATGTATGGTTGGTTATAATAGGACAATATTTGGCCAAGATACAACTATTTGAAAATCTGGAATCTGAGGGTGCAAAAAAAACTAAATATTGAGAAAATCGCCTTTAAAGTTGTCCAAATGAAGTTCTTAGCAATGCATATTAATAATCAAAAATTAAGTTTTGATATATTTATGGTAGGAAATTTACAAAATATCTTCATGGAACATGATCTTTACTTAATATCCTAATGATTTTTGGCATAAAAGAAAAATCGATCATTTTGACCCATACAATGTATTTTTGGCTATTGCTACAAATATACCCCAGCGACTTAAGACTGGTTTTGTGGTCCAGGGTCACATTTAAGAGTCCAAATACTTTTTCGGTACAATGTTTAGACAAACTGGATTAAAGTAAACAGTTATTCAAACAAAATATGCAAATGTTTATTTTGGCTTATAACTTTAGCAAATATTATTTTTACTTACAGTACATTTGGTTTATTGAACCATAATTTGTCTCCACAGAATCATGCTTTTGTTTGAATTGATTAATTAACAAGTAATTCGTTTTTGGGTTCCTGAATGGGAAAGATTCAGGTTGAGGCACAGTTGTACAGCTAATCGAGATCCATCTAGCTTGTGCAAACTTGTTTAGCATTTTTTACCTGGTAGATTCCAGCTCATTGACTGGGGGGAAATTTGTGGCTTTCTGAATTGCATTGCACAACTTTATTTCCTTAGATTTTTCCATGTTGCAGTCATTCTTTCACTCTGTTTTCAGCTTTGGCAGCCACTAAGAATGTTTCCAGTAATAATCAAGAGCAAAGTTCTTTCCTGACAATGAACTCATGCTTTCATGCAGCGAAACTATAGAGCCGAATCTTCTAGTGAGAGAGAAGCTTTGTGCTCCTGTGTTATTGCAAAATCAGAGGGGTGGGTTGTTCTGATGGATACATCTTTATTTTAGCAACAGCAGTGCATTAGTAACATCAGCCCTGTATTGCGGTGATTCTCATTTTTTTTGCACCTCTTCCCCACCAATCAGTCAGTCAATCAATATTTATTTCTATAGCGCATTTAAAAACGACACAGGATGACAAAGGTGCTTTGCACAACCAAAATTACAAAACACCTTTTAAACATATACAATAAAACACAAAACACATCACTATACATTTCATTGCATCTAAGGATAATTATATGCAAAAGACTAAGAGTAGAGAGTCGTCTTCAGATTAGATTTAAAACACTCAATAGAGTCACAGGATCCAAATACGGAGTTTTTTTTTTTGGTTTTCTGAATGAGAAAAATTTACCACCATAATCATTTGTTAATCCTACAATAATAGCAGAAAACTTACACTACAGTTCAAACGTTTAGTGTCAATAAGTGATTGATTGATTTTTTGTTTTTTTAGCAAGGACGCAATAAATTGATCAAAAGTAAGACATTTATAATGTTTCAAAAATATATTAAAAAAAAAAAGCTTTTCTTTTCATCAAGGAATACTTTCTGTTCATCAAGGAACCCTGAAAACTGTATCCTGGTTTCCACAACCATATTAAGTAGCTAGTACAGCTGTGAGTAATGGCTGCTGAAAATTCAGCCGTGCGATAATGGGAATAAACATTTTAAAATGTTAAAATAGAAAACATTTTAAATTGTAATGATATTTCACAACATTACTGTTTTACTGTATTTATGATCAAATAAATGCAGCCTTGGTGAGCATGAGAGACTTTCAAAAACTTTAAAAAAATCTTACCAACCCCAGACTTTTAAAAGGTAGTCTATGTTTTTATGTCACATACTCTGTTAAATAAAGAAAAGATGGTGGTTGCCAGATCAAAAAAAAAAACATATATTAAAATAAAATATAATAAAAAGTATTATCAGCTGATATTCACATGCATGTAGATCTCAGAACAGGTGCAGCCTTTTAAATGTGTTTAACTACTGAGACTGTTTACGTAATAGACCCTACATAAAATAAAGAAAATAAACAGGTTTTGATTTTGGTGATTTTAAAATGTACTCATTAAATCATCTTGACATTTTCATTGTTGTTTTTTAAATGGTTTCACTCAAAATGCTCACAATGGTTTGTCTCTTGTCCAGCTATCTGAATGATCTGGATAGGATATCCCAGCCCACCTACATGCCCACTCAACAAGATGTGCTGAGGACTCGAGTCAAGACCACTGGCATTGTAGAAACACACTTCACCTTCAAAGAGCTCTACTTCAAGTAAGTGCTTTCCTTTCCTTTCCTTTCCTTTCCTTTCCTTTCTTCCTCATGTCCTGATCACTGTATATTACTTGTGTCCAAACAGGATGTTTGATGTTGGTGGCCAGCGTTCAGAGCGGAAAAAATGGATTCATTGTTTTGAAGGCGTCACTGCTATTATCTTCTGTGTGGCACTCAGCGACTATGACCTGGTGCTAGCTGAAGACGAAGAGATGGTGAGTTTCCTTCACCATCATCCTGAAGTGAGACCTATAGAGATAAATCAGAATGGCACACTAGTCTGTTAACAAGATCACAGGGCCAATTCATTTGATATGATGGATTAATGAAAATATAGTAAAATATTATAATCAGCAAGAAAAGCTACTTCCAGATCTCAGTATATATTTTTATTTCTTCATAGCCACCACGCAGGATGTTCCATTTGTCCTGGTTGTGTTAAAGCAATTTCCACATAGCTCCTGGAAAGGCTGCATAGTTTCCTCATGAGACCTAATTTCTTAAAATACACTGACTATTTTTCCATACAAGGATGATTTGAGGTTGCATATTGATTTTCAGTGGCGTCAATATTCACAGTGTTATAGAATTAATTAACCCTTGATTCCATTGCGTTTATGTTTTCCAATGTATTTTTTGAAAATCTCAGCTCTCACTTGTCAAACCGTCTAAACAAATGTGAATCTGAGTCATATGGGGATCTCGATGTGTCCACAGAACCGTATGCATGAGAGCATGAAGCTTTTTGACAGCATCTGCAACAACAAATGGTTCACAGACACATCCATCATTCTCTTCCTCAATAAGAAGGATCTGTTCGAGGAGAAGATCAAGAGAAGTCCACTCACGATATGCTACCCAGAATACTCTGGTGAGAATATATTAAATATTGAATTATTGTCCTTATGATTGAAAGGTTGTTACATTAGTAGCTTGCATTTAAACTCAGTGTAGCTTATTTAAAAGTACTCATGAGTAGTGAGTACTGAGCTGTGGATTTTACCCGCTTATAATAAACGCTGTACACTGCAATTTAAACATTTAGAAAACATTTTACATACTGTAATTCACATTATATTTTGTTGTTTGTCAGAAAGAATGAATAATATCTATCATCCAGCAGTTTTAATTTTGACTGCCAACTCTTTCAAATATATCAAAACAACACTGATATAAACATATCAAAACATACTCATCACCATTTAAATCATAATGTTTGAAAAAAATAGATTTAAAATCAGGTGTAAGGCCACTGAGCCAGAGCATGCTATTGTTGCACATAAAATATTAATGTTTAGAACAATGCAACAAATACAAAACCATTAGAAACTCATACAAGAGTTCATCATTACACACCATGAGATGGGTTAAAAAGAGAGATTAAAAAGAGCCAATTTCTCTCCAAAATGGGGCCAGTTTTAGCATTTTGTGATAAAGAAATGTTATTTAAACATAAAGGCACATTGTTCTAGAAGGGGGCATCATCCCCTACATTTTACACAGCTACATTTACTCAAATTGTTATGCTGATAATACAATTTGTAAGGAAAAAATGGCATTAAATAGGGAAGTATTTCTGGGAAAACTTTTTAAAAAGAAAACACACACACACGCATCTCTTTGCAGGGCCGTGGCAGTCTGGGCGAATATCTGCTCTATCAGCAGCATCTACTGAATGGAACAAAAAGTGTTGAACTTGAAAAATGTTTTTGTATGAGTGCACTTGCTAAATGAAGGTATAAAATGGATCAAACAAAAAACCTTGTTTATTAACGAGCACCAATTTTATTGCATAACGCGCTGACAGAGATGCAGTATAATAAACCCACAGTTCATCAATAAGGTGCATACTGAATCTGGTCCTCCAATTTCAGTACATTAAGCCATGGTAAGCTGTTTTTCCAAGCATTTTAGTATGTCCCCAACACACTTTTTCACAACACTCATCGTGCGCTCAAACTCATCAGGAGTCAACAAGCTGCCGACTTCTCCAAGTGACTGCTGCAGGACGCACGCGAGGGAGAGACGCGGCAGTGCAGATCGCACATATCTCTATACTGAATGGGAGTGGAATTTACCGCATTATGAACGTGACACCTGCGGGAGTTATTAACATTGTACGCAATACCCGCAACCTCACACCAAATTTCAGGCCCTGTATATAGGCTAGCATATACAGATAATTTAGTAAGCAGAAATCTGAAGTTTACCTTAACATATTAGAGGAAGATGCTGATAACTCGACTGAATTTGTGCTTGAAGAATACTCTTCCATCAGCCATGATTATCACCAGCTGGCAAAAGTTTTCTATGCACAATTTTATTTGACGAGAGTTTCGAAACCGATTGCCATCTCCCTATCCAATCATGTTGATTTATAAAAATAAAATTAAAACAAGAATGTAACGACCACAAACAGAGGGAAAATAGCGGAGTAAAAGTACAGATACATCACTTAAAATGTAACGTTACTCAAGTAAAAGTACGCTATTTTTAAACTTCTCAAAAAAGTACAATTTCTGATAAAAACTACTTAATTACAGTAACGTGAGTATTTGTAATTCGTTACTTCACAGCCCTTGTACATTTACAGAAGTTGGTTTGTCCTGAGCCTATTTCATTGAAATCAGTCATGTATGAAAAGTGGCACAGTTTATTTTGCCAATGGGCTGGACCATCAGCAGAAACTTTTGCCTCACTTCATTTGTCAAAATTAGTGTTGTTTTCAATCTGTCAATTTTGATAAATGTAATCCTTGCTGAATAAAAGTAATAATTCTTTCAATAAATAAATAAATAAAATAAATAATTCTTACCCCAAACGTTTGCACGGTAATAAAATTCACACAAATCTTAAACTCTTCTCTGTCATATAACATTCAGGAACAAGCACATACGAGGAGGCAGCGGCCTACATCCAGTGCCAGTTTGAGGATCTGAACAGAAGAAAGGACACAAAGGAGATCTACACACACTTCACTTGTGCCACAGACACCAAGAACGTACAGTTTGTGTTTGATGCGGTCACTGATGTCATCATCAAGAATAACCTCATAGAGTGTGGCCTCTATTGAAGCATCATCTGTCTGCTAAGGTAAGTGCAGCGAAAGAGAAAAGGGCTTACAGGACAGAATGTGAGAGCTTTTTCACAGTGTGCATATTTATCTGTACAAATGTTTTCACACTGAAATCATGATTCATTAATTTTTGCACTTGTTTTTTTTCTACATTTAGAACATAGAACCATACGGATAAAAAAAGCACAGACCAGTGGTGAAAATCTGTTAACCCTAAATGTGTTGTTCCTGGTTTTGTCTGGTGGCGATTGAACAAGAGAGACTTCCTCCACACTGCATGCATTCTTCACGCTAAATGCGGTACCTATGCCCATGGACAATTTTTCCCCATCCGTTCTTAATGACAGTCTGTTATGGACATTATTTTTTTGCCACTTCCTTTTAGTCATTATTTTATTGCCAATACAGCTTCATTCTGCTCATTTCCTGTTTCCTTTGTAGGTATTACATGGCACACCACTATGCCTAGATCATAATCCACAATGGATGGTAATATGTGCCTATGCTAACCTCCACTGCATCAAATATCTTTGTTTTTTCAACACTGCAAAGTGCAAACAGTAAGATTTCATTTTAGTAAGAGTCATTTTAATAACAATGTATCAGTTCTTATGGGAAAGTTACTATTTTGCCATGTTTTTCATAGTAATTACTTAGCTAATTTATTAATTTTAGATTTTAGGTCTTTAAGTTTGCATATAATTGCATACATATCAGTTGTATATTGTGTTATATTATTGTCATACCTTTAGTAATTCACAGCCCAATCACACAGTAACAGGACACCATTTATTTTTTCACTAATAAGACATGGATCATTTTATATAACACTTTGCATAACACACTATTTTTGTATCTCTTGAGGACCAGTAAAGGTGTGAACAAATGTTTTTCTCACAGATACATTCCTGAATGGTGCAGAAATAATGACCCTCTGTTGGGTCAAGAGCACTTGGGAACAAATGCCATGAAAACATGAACATGATTGCCAGATTTGCATTCTTGATAAGTATAGATTTTTCTAAGACTTGTTTGATGTGATTCTGTTTAATCCTGTGGATTTCAGTATTTTAAAACAAACTGACACAATGTGATCTGGTTTGTAATACCTGTAATTAATCTGAAAAGAGCTGACATCAAGTTCGATGTCCATAATATCTTGCTCCCAGAACATGCCAAACAGCCAGCATGTGCAAGACAGACATGATCCATATATTATGTAAAAAGTATGGTATTCCAGTGCTGGTACATTCATGTTCTCAGTCTGGATTCATGCAACAATCTGTGATTTATTTTCTATATCACTGTTCTTTATTTTATTGAACTATTTCAGCTATTTGAAACTCAAAATGCAAGTGAACAACTAACATTAATTAATGATGGCACTGAATCACTGATATGCTAATAACTTGGTTTGTTTAGTTTTCTGAACACCCTTCTGTTGAGTATTATTTAAAACCTGTTTTGTTTTGTTTTTGTCTTTTCTGATCATGTGGAACTGTCCATAGTACACGTCACTAGTACAATGTCACCAGTTGCTGCAGTTTTGAGAAAATGCATATATAATCAAATGACCTTTGTTTAAAGAAACGTATAGTATATACATTATCATGATCAGAAATTAACTACAAGACACGAGTTGAAAATAATATACTTTTATTTTTAAATGGATTCAAGATTATCTTTTAATTTTAGTCTTCGATGTTCAAACGGTGAAGACAAATATTTACTAAGAATCATACCTAAACATATTTTATTTGTCTTGTTTTAATGACACTGTGTATCTGGTCTAATACCTCAAATGTGCAATTACCATCTTTGGCTCTTTTATTTCCTACTATTCCCATTGTTTCTCTGATTGTGCCTGTGGCTCTAAATGTTGTATATTTGTGTAGTCTCATGATTGTTAGATATCTTTACTACTTATTTTAGCTGTCATAAAGACACCTCTTTTTTTTATTATATAATACTCTTAGCAAAAAAGTGTTTTGTACTGTGGTTCATTCAAAATTAGCTCTGACACAAAGGGACAGTGTTTGAAAATCCCAATTAAAACAATGTAAGGTCAGTGTTTTGTGAAAGTGCGCAATTACAGTAGAGCTAATGGACAGCCATTTGCAGCACATAATCGTAATTCAACACCAGCAACCAGTGGAATTGATGCAAGTCTTTATTTCATGTGCCTACATTTACATTCCAGAACATCTCCACAAATTCAGACCTCAGGTTTTAAACAAAGCAACAGGCCATTCTTGAATTTTCACTTGTTACTGTAATATTGTATCACAAATATATAGATTTATGTCTCCATATATATTTTATATAGAATCTTTTTTGAAACAGATTTTTCCCCCTACTCTTATTGACAAAACATACTGCCCAACTGTGTTTGGGGCTGAAAAGAAACATCTTTCATATATTGTGTGAGCTGGTTGAATTCAAACAATCACGTCCTGCTGATATGCAAGTTTTAACTCTCTTAAAGGAGACCAGATGCTGTACATTTAAGAATGTCTTTAATTGTTACTATGAGATCTGATGGGGTCCCACTTCAATTTCTTTTAATACAGCAACATTCAATTGCATTAAATTTAGTTTTCTTTTTTTTTTAATAAACCTCTATAGGTTTAACATTAAAACACATTGAGAGGAAGCTTCTCTACAAGCATCAATAACTCAGCATCAAAAGTCCCCTTTCTTTGGTAATCCTTCTCATTGACTACTAGCGGTTTGACAGGAAATGTTTTTAGAGTCCCTTTGGAGAGCAGAGGCCATTAGTCTAATCTGGATCTAGTCTCTGAGGTTTGGTTAGGTTGTTGAGGTCGTTCTTTGGCTGGGGATCTGCTGACCACACTTGACTGCTTGCTGTAGAGTTCACCGTCATGCCACCTTGTGGATGTTCTTTTGTTACTGTGACAACTTCACCAGAGTAATTCCAATCATGCAGGTGGGGATGGTACAGAAAGATCTGGAAAAAAAAAAAAAAAAAAGTCAATTCTTAAATTCAAAGGAAAAAAAATCTAATTGAAATGATTTAATAGAACTTTCTAAAGTTATAATACCATCTACACTGGAAGCGTGGGAGTGTTATGCCATCTAAGCATGTTTACTACCACGGACCATATTGATGTTAGAAGTATAGATAGTAAAAATAGAAGTAGAAATGGGGGCATCCATCAACTGAAGGCGATGGGAGTTATTTATGGTTGTGTCCGGTGTAGACAGGGAGTAAGAACCTGCTTCGTGTTTTTAGGGACATACCTTTGAAAAAGATAGTGTTTAGAACAGACCGCAGTCCTTAAGGTTTTCTTTGATGATAATGTCTGTCACAGCGTTAAACACAATCTCAACGTTCTTTGTGTCCGTGGCACAGGTCAGGTGTGCATAGATCTCCTTCACTCCCTTCTTCATGTTCAGATCTTGAAATTGAGTCTTGATATAGTTGCTGGCATCTTCATATGTGTTTGGACCTGGAAAATTGGGATTTTCAACGTCATATTTGGTGAGCAAATTCAATTAAGTTTGTTAAGACTGTTGTGTATTTGTATTTACAGTTCAAGTACCATCAATTGTTTGCTATGATGCCCTTATACGTATACTGTTTCAATAATTTATTCACCTTCATACTGATCTAAACCTGTATGATCATCAATCTTCTGCTGAGGTGAATGTTTGAAGAATATCCTGACAACTATTTCTTCAGTATAATGATGTGAACGAAAGAAGCTTAAAAAACAATGCAAAAGCATCATAAAATGTCCATACCAGAAGCCATATCAGAAACAGACTGAATTCACTGAAGTCATTATTCACTAATAGTGTCCTCACTTCCAGTGAGCTGTTTACCATTGTGATTAGTTTGAGTCCAATAGTTCATTTAAAAGATCTGGCTCAAAAGAATGATTAATTTGTGAATCAAACATTGTCTCTCATAAATGTGCCAATGAGAGCAAGGGCAAATCAAGATTATTAACTTAAATTTCAGTCTGTACTGCACAAAGCTATCATATGGCTTCAAAAGAGTCATATGAACCTCTTGTTTGATATTTTTATGGAGCTTTTTTGTCATTCTGTATCTTAACAACTCCAGTCCTCATTAATCTTCAGTATGTTTACAAGAGTGACCAGGATGTTTTCTTTTAAAAAAATTCACATATTATGTTCTACAGAATAAAGTCATATAGGTTTGGAACGGAATGAGGGTGAGATGATCATTCATTTTTGGGTAAATTACTGTTTTAAGGTGGTGTGTTTATTTACATAGAGACCTCACTCACCATCATATTCAGGGAAACAGATGCTCAGGTGGACTTTCTTGATCTTCTCCTGGAAGAGATCTTTCTTGTTGAGGAAAAGCACAATGGAAGTTGTGGTGAAGAACCTGTGGTTGCAGATACTGTTGAAGAGATGGAGACTCTCATGCATGCGGTTCTGGGAGAAACATGAGAAACAAGAAGAAAATATAAGCTGAGATGCACTGCTAGAACTTCAAACATTGTTATCTAATCCATTTAATGGTTTCTATGATATTTACAATATGACTGATCTTGTGGTCTTTGGTGAATAATGGATGTGTAAGGAAGGACTGTTCTTCACTCTTCAAAATAAAGTTTCCAAAAAGGGGTTTGCACAGTGATGCCGCAGAAAAATCTTTCAGTAAACAATTTTTAAAAGAACCATTTTTCCTTAGTGTGAAGAACATTTTAAAACGCTAAAGTACCTTATTCCACAATAAAGAAGCTTTTGTTCAATGGAAAGATTCCATGGATGTTAAAGGTTCTTTATGGAACCATAGATGGCATATTTTTTAGTGGTGTCTAAAGATCAGCACTTACCACTTCATCATCGTCTACCAGCACCATGTCGTAAGCGCTCAGGGCTCCACAGAAGATGATGCAAGTCACACCTTCGAAACAATGAATCCACTTCTTCCTCTCAGACCTCTGGCCACCCACATCAAACATCCTGTGGCCCAGTGAAAAATCATGAAAAGGTTTCATTCAAAATGCTGGTTCTTTTTGTTCTAGTTACACAAGATCAGTTGAAATCAACCTAACATGGTCCTCTCACATGAACAGTCACACATTTTAGGTCTTGAGTTTCTTTACAGTAGCAATTTTTGTGGCTCTCGATTTTAACAGAGTATGCACAACAGTTGATTGGATCACATTAGCCAGTTAAGACACCTGAAGTAGAGCTCTTTGCAGGAGAACTGTTCCTCAATAATACCAGTAGTCTTGACTCGAGATCTCAGCACATCCTGCTCGGTGGGGATGTAGTCAGGTTTGCAGATTCTATCCATTTCACTCAAGTAGCTGTTTGAGATGAGCTATAAATTAGCCATACATTTGCGTACACACCTGAAATGTTCATCTGCTAACGTCCTGGAAATCTCCAAAGCATAGCGACTGTGTACGTAATGGGTGCCAAACTCACAGCCCTGCAGAGTTTAGCTTCAACCTTATTTAAACGCACCTGATCCAGCTAACCAAGTCCTTCAGGATTATTTGAAAACTACGGCCAGGGTTGGAACTAAACTCTGCAGGACTGTGGCCCACCGTGAGCTGAGTTTCGAACCTTGGTGTACTGCATTCCCACAATACGAAGTGAATTATGGACAATGCAGCCACACCCTCAGGCTCCAATGAACTCCATAGGTATTGCTGTCCCTGTTGAGTGTTGTACTCACTATCCAGCAGAGTCGTTCAGCTGGTACTCAGCAGCTCTCTCATATGAGGCCTGCACACCTGAATCCTTCCATAGCCTCTTGATGACGTCTGCCAGCTCTGGAGGCATGGTGCCCTCCTCAATGGAGTCAGCCAGGTTCTGGAGCTTCTGACCGTCCTCCTGCATGAGACAAAGAAATTGGGCACTGTTAGCCTCCATGCAGTTAGTTGTTAATTCTTTCTATTATTTAAAGATTTGTGATAAAAGGGAAGTAGCAACAGATCTTTTCTCCTGTATTGTGACATGGACTTGGTAAATCCAAGTGTAACGGATTATTGAAAAACAAAAAACTGTGGGACGGGGACTTGGTTCTGTGTTCTTGGTTCTAGCAGAGAGAAGGTACTGATATACACCCTTTAGGGGTGAATAAGGTATAAAGTGTACCTTTTGTTAGCGCCCCAGTGGCAACTTTTGTACCTTTTTTCCTAAGAGTGTATTGTGAACAATTTATCCACGCATGTTTCATTTTTTAAAAATGTTATATAAAAGGGGGAAATTTCCTTTCATGCCAAAATTGTGTATGTTGTTGTGTTTCAGCGTGTGCATTTTTATGGTATGTGAATGTCTACACACTAATCATTTGTTTTGGAGTTGTTTTGCAGACCTGTGCTGCTGGTGACCCAAAGTTGATGTCCAGCATCTCCATGCCTCTGATGATGGCCATAGCAGATTGCAGGATGTTGCCAAAAATAATAGATCGAAACTCTATTTGTTCTTCTTTTGTATAACCACCTTGATGGAGAATTCTTGGGGGAGCAAAAGTGTTTTTGATTAACGTTTTGAAGGTGAGTACAGTACCATCTGGTTCACATTCACTACCATCTGGTGGTCACACATTAGCATTACAAGGGGTAGAACAGAATGCAAGTACTGACATTTCCCAAATGCACACCAATTGTTAAGGAAAAATTC